ACAACGAGGGCACGGACACAAGCCCATGTCTTTGATAGTCGCGATTAAAACCCTGTAAATTTACGAGTGATTCGATGTTTGATAAGGTCCATGAAGTAACGCACTTTTCTGGATAATCCGCGGAATACGTGAAAATTCGGGAAGACCTCGAAAAAGACCCGTCCGCCATTCTCAAAACAATGCCGTTGTGGTATGCAGACAAGAAAATGGCTTCATCTTATCAGAATGTCCCAGGCTCACGGAAAAATGGAATAAACTCCCTGTGGGCAGAGTGGTGTATGCAGGACGCACTAACCAGCCCGTTTTCGATATGCTGCGGACAGTCTCATCAAAACAGTCTTTGACGACTGTCAGGAAGCTAACGATTTACAATCAGCCGTGTAGACTACGCATGCACATTCAGAGGCACGTACTGAAGGTAGAAACCCTACCAGATGACACGCCCCTGATTGGGTGATGATCGGGCGTATTTTGTCCAAATTACCGAAGTACATATACAGAGGCCAGGCTTTGGCAGTCCCAAAGTTGCTAGATGAGTAGCATCGGAGAAGAACATCAGACCGGCGATGACACGTTCTAGTGAACATCCAGGTTCCTTTTGGAAGCCTCTGAATGTCTGTCTTGAGCTCTAGCCAGGTATCCGAGGTATATAGCTCGTCGTAAATCCGCTCTTCATGGCCGTCTAGAGGGTCCTTCCATAATCATTTGAAAGGAAAAAGATGATATGCTCCAGCTTGCACGTCTGCAAACGCCGGCGTATGACTTCAACTGAGAGGTCGATAATGGAATCCGTGGATAGTATAAGGTAGCGGGTCATTCTCGCTTGTCCTCGTGGGGATACTGATGGTGACGCCAGTCTGAACCCAGTCGTCTGGGAAAGTAACTCTTTTTCCACTCTCATCCATATCCAGTTCTCGCAAGTTCTGCCTTACCGAGAAGTTCTCAAAGTCTTTGCGGTCGAAATCATCCGCTAGAATGACATCTTTGACTAGGTGCGAGACTGTTTTTTCCGATAATAAGTTGCCACCAGAATGCATCCATGACATAAGTCGATAGACAGACATGTTGGGAAAAGGGTAAGGCGGCGCGAAGACTTTTGCTGGAGAATCAGCCTCTTGAGCACTAGTTTTCGGAGATGTTCTGGCAAGTAGTGAGGATTGAATCAACTGATCTGGTTCGAAGGAAGGACGACGTGGATAGAGCCGACAAAGGCCAAACGAGTTGAAGGTGGACTTAAGGGTGTCTCTTAAGGTCAAAAGAACACGTCGAATTCGGGATCGGGCAGGTAGTGAGGCTGTTTGTGATGATGGAATGCCTGCTCTATCGGAATGATTGAGATCGTCCGGCGAAGACCTGATATTATCAAGATATCTCAGAATTCGTCCCATTGGGAGTGCTCGTTCACCTGAAATGATGATAAGAGTAAGTAATTGGTAGATATCTCAGAGGATCGTGGCGCCCAAGCCTGAGAGGGCACGAACCTAAATCATGGTCAGTGCAAGAACCACTCCCCGTCATCTCAACATCAACTTGATCAATTTGGGGCGTCTCCGAGCCAAGGGTGTGCTGCGAGTCTAGCACAGGACTGGACGCACTGCATAAATTGCGAGCTACAGAAATTGGTCCAAGGAGTCTGCTAGGAGTAATCGGTTTAAGATTTGGACGGTCCCTCACTGCGGCTGCATGTCCAGCGAAAGAAATTCTGCGCCCCTGCCAAATTTGATGATTTTTAAATACGGGAAGTTCAGGAAGGAGTCACGACTCACCACGACTGGCTCATCAGTAGTGTTTGCTTTGGAAAAGTTTATCAACGCCTCCTTTGCGTGATCTTGTCGTTTCCGACTCGCCAGACTACTGGCTCTCTTGAAAAAACAACAGGACGCGCGATGCCTACTTAGTCCCCGATTGTCAGTGGTCCTCTCCCAGGAGCAGCCCGGAGCATTGCAAGATACCATCAAAATAAAGAAGAATACACCGATACAAACTTGAAGCACTTTGGAAAAGCGCATGGCAGTTTTGAGCCAGCTAGTACCTGTGTTGCCAAGACGCCTTTCAAGTTCAAGTTACAACTAGTAGTACCATGGACAGTTGGACTTGGATGAAATTTTCTTGAGAAGTTGGCACCAGGATTATGGTGAAAACTTAGAAGAAGCCAATGAATGGTCTGCACCGGTAGGTACGTATTCACTAGTCAAAATTATACAAAAAATGTGACTTGTCTAGCAAATTAATATTTCAAGCGTCCAGCGTTGTGTGATCTACCAATAGACAGACATGATTCACTAGTACTACTGGTATTGCGAGGGCGAGTTAGGAATTGTAACGGTACAAATGGCAATATCATATAAGATGCCATTGAGATATCCATCTCAATCGATCGTCTATGCTCTGGACAAGCTCTAGAAGCATGTAAATGAACGCAAATAATGCCTAAGGTAGCACATACCAGCTATCCGCAGAGCGCATCTCTTTGGCATCATTTAGGATGCCGAGTACAGCATCCGTTCGACGGATAGAAGTCCTGATACTGTCGCGGACTTCAGTAGGACAAGAACTTGCTGAGGCGCCACGACGGGACAATGACAGGCGTTGATGAAACATTTCCATTAAATGCTGCACTTCTTGCTCGGCCTTCGAGAAGTCGCGTTTTGAATCTTCACGCATGGAGCGAGCGAGAGCTTTTCCCCTCTCGAATTCCGAGATTTCCCAGCACGCGGCATGGTAGTTCATGCGACAGCGTTCACGAACTGCTTCCAGGTATTGAACAGCACAAAGAAAGGAGTTTGTGCCAAGTTCTCCCAGAATCTTCAAATACGTATCCCTAGCCTAAACACGATGCAACTCATCAGAATTAATATGAAAACTTGAAACAACGCTTACATTCTCGTTGATGGTGCCCGATGAATCATCGACATCGAAAGGTCTGCCTACCAATCGATTGAATATATGTTGGTCTTCAAATCGTGTGGTCCAACGGGGAGGATCGCAGTGTTTGCTCTGAGGAGAACTTGGAGTCTGCAGCTCAACTCCGTTAAACGGACTGTTGAGGTCACGGCGCGAACTCTTCGAATTGGGTGTCAAAGGGAATATATCGTCATCTGTGTCGTTGGCTGCTGTTTTTTTCATATTTAAGTATTTCTCCCAGTGACATATACTTGTAAGTCTTTCATACCTGATCCTGTTGCAGAAACTAATGAGGGAGAGCTTGGAGTAGAACTCGAATATTGGCTGGGAGTTCCAACAGTGGGAAGATAACAAGAGCGAGGAGGCGTGGAGGGGAGTTTACATGGAGCTTCAGCTTCAAGCTCATTACTGGAAGATGGAGCCAAGTTGAAGTTCATAATTTTCAACTCGTAAGGTCACGGGGATCCTGGAGATCCTAGGTTGAAGTGCTACGACGCCGTGTTCCCGTGCGTGAGGTAAATAGGCTCATCGGAGTTTGAACCTCCTGGAACTCGTGCAAGTGAATACACACCTCTTATCGCCTCACACCAACTCAGTACATATCCTAAACAGGAATGAGCCCAGAGGACCTAGGTTTTATAATTAGAATATAGCTCAAACTGAGAGCAGAGATAGTTTTTTGCATGATTCATTGTGCTTTGTCACCTACTTGACGTATAGATCTACTTCAGCAGCCAACGAGAGAACCAAGTATAGTACTACCTCTCTGCTATGCCGAAACGAAATTTGTTTATTGTTGCAAACCTCGTTCAACGGACGAAGTCGAGCTGCACATATTAAATTGCGAACCTCACTTTACTAATCCGGGAATAACTTAGCACATATTACTTCGTTGAAACTCACTTTACTAATCCGGGAATAAGATAGCCCCAATGATTAATGAGCTACGGAGGCACTCTAGGCTACGCATACCTGAGCATGTGCGTATGGCGTCAGAACTTCTACCCTGCAACAGTACGTCACTAGTCACATAATCAATATAAAAGCTCACCCCTTGAGGTCTGACTCATCTAAATCAACTCCGATCCTCTAACACGATGTTTGATCATGCCCATGCTGATGCATGGGGCGGTGACTCGGATCAACCCTCCATGCTGGCACTTGATCCTGTGACCAGTGATAAGGGGTCGGGATATCCGAGTAAATCTGAGTCACCCAAATCATCAACCGCTGTTGGCAGTGTTCCTGTCAACAAGGAGAAGACTGAGGCTCGCACCCGAAATGAAGAGCACGCGCTAGCCTTGCCTCTGAAATATGAACTTGAAAAAGTATGAAATACTCATTCAAATACGTTGGTTGCAACATGCTCAATGTGTCTTCAACAGAAGATCCTAGTCAGCACTCGCTTGGACAACGTCTTGAAGATGTCTGAGTCCGGGTCGGAAAGTCAGACCTGGCCCGGGGAAGCTGCCACAATAACTCGGAGGACTCGCAGGGCAGTAAGTATTTGCAGCCGCGTTTTTGATTTCATTGTACTGACTCGAATTCATGGAGAAGACAGCTGGAGCCGATCCCAACATCGCCAGTTGTCCGGAAGTCACAGTAGCCACGGTGCAACTTGAAGCTCAAGATTTTTGCACTGCTAGTACTAGTGCTATTAGTACCCACCGCCAGACTCGCAAGAGAAAGGTTGCACTCGCAGGGATCGACATCGTCGACAAGGAAAACTTGAACGTATTTTTGAATGCCACCCCCGGCGGGCCGGTGGCTATTAAGCGCATCTGCCGGGAGAAAACCGGCACTGATTGGCAAACCGTCCTTGATGTTATTGCGTACGGTGAAGAACGAAACAGGCGGCAGAATCAAAACACGGCAAGTACTGCGGAGGAAAAGTAGTTGAGAGAAAATTTACTTACGAATTTTGGGTAACTTTTAATTGACGGACCATCCGAGTCAATAGTCGTCTGCATAAGGACCGACAACATGTGTTTGTATATATTTGTAGAGCGGGAAAATAGTTGTGTTGCTGTGACGTATGACACCTCCTCTGTGCCATGTGTTAGAAGCTAGACACGAAACACGCTCATGAGTCAGTGTTTGGTTGGTGCACCAATGCACGTGACAGACTGGTGAGATAGCGGAATTCCTCCCTGTTAGACACAATGTATCAATACATGACGAGCCAGAACCTGAGATTCAAACATACTGCGGCCACAGAGGTAAGATGTCCAAGCTTGCGCGGCATTGGGTGTGTCATAACCACCTAAAGCCTAGGATGGTATGCGGGAGATAGTGTCTAAAAAGAATTCTTTGGGTCATATATTGTCAATGATTCGAGATGCACGCACAAGAACTTGAGCAGCAGCCGTGGAACCAGGTTTGTGAAAAGCTTGTGACGCTGCATCTGAAAAATGAAGGTCGAGGTCGGGATACATCACACGTGGTTTCTTCAACGGATGTGTAGAAGGTATTGTTCGTTTGAGGAAAAGAATGGCGAGAACGCAATCAGCTACGTTACAAAAAGCTGAAGCCCGTGCTTTTTGGCGTGATGTCTGCATATGACGACACTGAGATTCCAAGGAAAGTTCGCCATGAACTAAGCGAGCACTTACCTTCCGCCATCCCAGGAAATTGTTATGTCCGAGATATCGTTTCTAATCGCAGCCGCTCCGGAACTTGTAGCGTCACTCTGTGCACTACCCACAGCTATCTCTATATGACGCGCAGCTTTCCCGCGCAACGCGCGCCATGCGCGCACCATTCCCGCGCTTCGCGATGTATACGCGCGCGCGCGTTCCCGCGCTTGCGCGCCCTATGGCGCCAGCCATCCAGAAGCATCCATCCACTGTCCACCAAGCTCCCTAGTGCGTATATTTCCATTTCCTTTATTAGCATAGTTCCACCTTTATTTTTATCATGCATTCTCACTCATATATATATTTACATACCTACTCGGTAGCGCTTCGGCTCCGCTTGACCGCGCTTAGGCGCGCTATATAAGCACCAGCAGTACATACTATTACTTACCTTACTTTTCCCTTGAACTTACTAGTTATCACCCACTATTTACTTAGCAGTACATAGTAGAAGTCTATTGGTCTACACTTTGCATCTATCTTTTCTTATATTGCTTTATATCATCACTTAAGCTTAGTCTCTTTTATTTCCGCTTACGCGTCAAGGTAGCTCCAGCGACTAGTGTGATGTAGTCTTTGATTCCATGAAACATGGGGCAGTCCTACATAGTGATACATTGACAGGTAGCGAAACGACACAATCTGTTTTGTATACGCACATCTTCAAGCCCAAACTCTGAAGCTTCTAGAAGGCTCTGCGCATCGCTTGATTGAATCATGACATCTTCGAGATAGTCACGAGTATGGTAAGCCAAAAACTCCTTCTGGCCAGCAGGCCGTGGTCGCACAACCAGGGATCGTTGGGTCTCTTGACCAGTGCATGTTGCCAGAAGTCCATATGCGTGAACGAGTGAATAGACGAGGAGAGAACGGTTTCTATTGGAAGGTAGACGTGAAGATATCTGCCACGGTGGTGCAGAATATCCGAGAGAATGGATTAGATATCACCCGATGACACACAATGGATTCGTAGGTACTCGTGCTCACTTTGACTAGGTCTTCTGAGAAGATGTAGGCACGGGTCTAGCATACAACCCAGTAGATTCGACATCTGAGTCTAGTCTGTCACGGCAGGACATCACGGTAGTCACGTAGTACCTGGCAGTTGGCAAAATCGGAGTGTACTAGTAACACTGTAAATACTGCTTCAATCATCTTCTTTCTTACATGAATTTTCATCAACAGCACCAATTCAAAGTCACGCCGGTATGCAAGTACACCAGCCCATCTATGAGGCAAGCCGTCGATACTAGACGAATTATTTTAGAAAGATGATGCGGCTTGCCACCCGTCTCGTGGGAGACATGTACGTGCGCGTGAATTGTCACGTGATGATATTCGAAAATTTGAACTTACTTCTTCAGTTAGTAGGATCCCGCGCGGGGAAGGCTCAATTGTTTTTCTTAACTTCTGTGGGTGAGAGTCCTGCTACGGCTGGAGGTCTCCGTGCGAACTCTATGACCTCGCAGAAGTACTATAATATAGTACGTTCAACCTCATCACTAGTCTTCCCGACTCTCAGCTGGAAACTAATATTCCTCAAAATGAGCCACACCAAGATGAGGCCTACGAAGGTGATCATTCATCTCCCTCTCGCGTTCCAGTCAATTTTTTGTGACCCAGTTGGTGTTAGCGAACTTCAACGCACAATGGCATCACGTTCCACACGTTCTCAAGTTAATCATCGGGAAAGCTCTCGTCGCGGAAGTTTACCCAAGCCTCTTATGCCTGCCTCAGCAAAGGGCATTGACACTCCAAGTTCATCCTCTGTGACTTCAGCATACGATGGCGATGCTTTCGATTTTGAAGTCACGCTCAAAGACCTTGTCAGACGGTGAGTTCCGCAATAAAAAAACTAGTTGCCTTTGTCGATATATTACTAGTCGTTGCGAAGAGTTCATTAAGGGCCGCGAGCTTGGCGTTATGTTCAAGGATCTCCGTGTCGTCGGTGTCAGTGCACGTGCCTCTTTACAGCCTACCATCGGTTCTATGCTTAATCCTGCTGCCACCTTGAGGAACATTTCGGCGATGCGCAACCCGCCTGTCAGGGATATTTTCTCAGGATTCGAGGGTATCGTTACGCCTAGTGAAATGCTCCGTTAGTCGTTTTAATGAACTAACGTGAAGTTAAATTTTCGCGCTAATTACGTGTTCGCGACAGTAGCTCTCGGACGACCTGGCTCCGGTTGCAGCACGTTCCTATTGCAAACCAGTGTGGGGAATACCATGCTGTACAAAGCGAAGTATGCTATGACTCCTTCACCCCCAAAGATATCGCAAGACAGCATCGTGGAGATGTGATCTACTGTCCTGACGATGATGTCCACTTTCCGACCTTGACTGTAGGGCAAACCTTGTCTTTCGCCATCAAAATGCGTACTCCACATGCTCGGTTCACAGACCAAACCCGTGAACAGTTTAATCGTGATGTAGTTGATATCCTCGTGCGCATCTTCGGTCTTCGTCATGCGCGAAACACTGTTGTCAGTGATGCTGCTATTCGTGGTGTTTCAGGAGGCAAAACGAAAGGTGTCTCGATTGCAGAAGCCGCGACTGTCTTGCTGTGCCCTCGTTAGCGCGTGGGATGAGTGAGGAGGTGAAACGTGTTCATACGATGACAATCTTACATCAGTCGGATACATGGGATATCGGGACCCACGTTGAAGACACAGTCGGCTGGAGTCTGCTGGCACTAGCCTGGCCCTCGTCAACGCGACTCTTCGATGAGTGATGTCACCTGTTCCAGACGTTCAATACTTATCTAGGATGTAGGGGCATTCCTGGCAGGACTCATTGTTCCCCACGAAGGCGGTCTTGCTATCGCACTAACGGAGAAGCTCGAATATATGGTGACGACCATGTTTTTGCCTCTGGTATGGTATTTGAATTGCCACGTGTATAAGACTAATATCTTCGCAGTACTTCGCACTCTCTGGCTTAAATACTAACCCTGGATTATTTGACAATGGTCAGTCCTGCCAATCATACCTCACATTGATCGTTTATGAATCTTTGCGGCAGGCATCACTTGGGGATTCACCTACGCAATTATATGTCTGGACTCTTCTGGAAAACTCACTGCATGTACAATCACCACACAGATAACCGGAATGAGTTGGCGAGGGTCAAACACCGTCAGATCATTGAATAGCTTCAATGCTGCCGCACGACTCGAGGCCCGGGAGTACTAGTATACGACAACGTGCACACCCGGAAATAGGCTAGCAACCGACTTCCAGCTGAGCTTGAGAACAAGGGTCTTGCCAATGCGTCTGCTATTTTACGTGCGTTGTCTTCTTTTTCCCCGCTCCTCTCCGACACCAACGTCACGGTGACTCGGATAATTGAATGTGTACAACCCTATGCACATCATGATTTCATAGATTTGAGCGGAGATCATCGATCTTGTGGGGCTCGCTCAAAGCCGTTCGTATATTATGGAAGTTCTTACCTTACGTTTCATCACATTAGCATTTGCATTAACCTGTTGCAGCAGATTTCGAACCAACTCGAACTTAAAATTGCCCCAAACCAGACGGCCAAGCCAGCCCGTCCCTGAGTTTTCATGACTATCGTACTGTTAAGTAGGGCTACTGGGCGTCTGCGAGCCTTGATGCTGGATTCGGCAGGTAAGTGCGTGCTTGGTCACGATTTATCACGGTAACATTAACGCTGTAGATCAGAGCCTCACATATGCTGTCAGTCACTTGTCTGAATCTTCCGAGTCAACCCTTGTTAAAGATAACGCGATTTTATCGGATGTCCAATATCAAGCTACTCTGACTCGAAACTTAGAATCTTTGAGCCTTCGAGTGACGATGTTCGCTAATCGATGAACCTTGCGAAGGGGGTTCTTGTTCGGTCCGATACGCATTCCCATGGAATTTCGAGTTGTTAGCGGCCCAACACGTCTTATTACGACTCTTACCTCAATTTTTCAATGCAGCAACCCCATTATCAATAGTGGTAGAAGGTAATTTAAAAGTCGCCCCAAACTTTCCGGGCTGGCTACCGCAGTGTAATTTCAAGGTGAATTGAATCTATTATTAAATCGTGCCGGTGCTGAAAGCCAAATCAGGAATCTCCAAAATAGCGCCCATGCCTCATGGTTCGGCCTAGCGGCTGCAATAAAACTTATATGCTGCCACCTGTGGTTGCGTCGAAACTGCCACTAGATTCCAATGCACTCAGGCTCGCACGATGAACAGCCCCCTGACACTTTTATTGACACGTCTGATGATAATGTCGGCCAGAGCAGCCATTCCACCTATCCCCTCGCTGCTAGCTCTCAGGCTGACTTGGCCCGCTACCAGCAGTCCTTATTCAATGACACTCAGGCTGTTTCGTTTTCCCATCACGACTCGGACTTTTACTACCGCGGCGACGCTGTGAATGCGCAAGCGAGCCATCAGATTTTCCTCGCAGACTCTCAATCTTCGAACTCGTTTCCAAACCTCAATGTCGTCAACCCATCAGCGTCACTCCTCCATGACCCGTTTCATTTCGCCCTTGATAATTCACAGGCAGGGTATCATCCGATATACAACTCTTCTGCTACTCCTTACGCGGACTCCGGGCCACCACATTTGCATCCTCCTCGATACCTTTCCGCGTTCCCTCCTCCCATCGTGTCCGTTGACGGGATATCTACTTTGACACCAGAGGCAGAAGATATTCAGCCTCTTCAAATTGGAGAGCCACCGCTGCACCTCGACGAGCCACTACCTCTTGGAGATTCGTTCACCGTCAGTGAGCCTTCGCCTCCCGTTCCTGGTCCATCTGGATCACGCAGTCGCCAACCGCCGGTAAAAGGGTTAGATGTTAGAATTTGGCCCTATCCGCATGCCCGATCAAAGCTGAGGGGCCTCACTAGCACTATGGTGAGTAATCACGATTTACAAATCGTCAATTACTGATGACTTATCAGGGCTCTTCGGGTGTTGCCCCGCCCATGGTGCTCCCACGGACATCTGCCATCGCGCCTTTACAATACAGCGACAAGATCCGAGTCCACCGAAGAATTTTCGAAGAGGCGCGTGTAACGCTCATTCGATCGGCACTCGTAGACTGTCCCTTCTTGACCGAGCAAGAAAGAAAGGAGGCAGCTCTTCGAGCACTAGCTTCAACAGCAGAGGTACATGATAAAAGTAAGCCGCAGTACTTAAAATTGACGGTGTCTGATACTTCCACCAGAGCATGGGGATGGATGGGCTAAAGAAAACCTAGCTGCGTTCTATAAGACCTTCACGGTGACGCCGTCCGCTGATATCACATCAACCTTCAAGAAAGCCGCCCGTGCCGTTGTTCAATTCGGGTACAAACTGCGCCCCTCAATCTGGTCGGAAGAGTCCGAACCACAGTATCAGATCGATACGGTAAAAGACCTTATTGACGACCCCTCATTCCCCTTAAAATACATATTCGGGAATTCATCTGACCTCCAACGCGACCAATCGTTTGCATTCGAACATCCCGTGATAGAGACCGTCCTTCTCAACGCGATTCTGAAACTCGGCTATGTGCCTTTCGTCACAGAACTCGACAGCTTGTATTGCACAGCTACAGTGGCCGTGGAGTGTGTTTTAATGGAGTTAGCGGGCGGGCGGTTTGCAGTGACCATTGATTTTGGGGTGACTAATTTCAAAGCTAAGCATACATTGCTACAGAAATACATCCGAGACTTCATTCTACCCAACCCAGAATTATCGACGCGGTGGCAGCAGTACAAGCTGCGCACTTGTGATAGATTGATAGATATACACAACGCTAACCATAATACTCGCTGATGTTTGATTTTTGTACCTGTATATAATCAAATTCTATCGTGAACCTACTACTCACCGTTTGTTTTTCTCGGATCACTAGTAAGTTATTCGCAAGCGTGATGGGCACACGGCCGAAGCAGACCTGCTACCCGAGACAATCGTACGGGCTTTACACAGGGACAAAGACGACTCTGTCGAAGCATCTCGTCCTCTTTTCCGTTTCCGTTTCTTTGATCAGCCACGAGATAATTTTATCCGATCAACTAGCTTAACTTCCGATCACACCAAGATGTCTTCGTCACACTGACCTCCCACTACTAGTACACGTGCCCTCTAAGCTCCCACATTTCCCTTCGAATTCTTATTAACTCCCTGCTGTTCAGCATCCGCATTCATCGTCGATCAACTCTCTGTGCTTTTGAGGAAGGTATCTACCAATCTGACTGCAGCGGTTGGTTCTGTTCCTCTCTTGACGGCTGCCCAACGCGAACGCTTGCTCAACCCCACAGCGAATTTACATTGGTGTGACTGGAAGGGAGCCATCACAGGTGTGTTTTCCCGCAACGCGCAGGAATTGCCTGATAGGTCGTGTATCATTCAAAGTGTACCTGCCTCGATTCCTAGCGAGCCGCAGACGAGGCGAACATTCACTTACGGAGAGCCTCCAACATCCTAGCGCACCGTTACCACCTCCTAGCAGGCGGTGTGAAGAGGGAAGATTTACGCACATCGTAGTGTCGAGTTGGTCGTAGTTGTCATGGCTGTTCTTAAAAGTGGCGCAACATTCTCGGTTATAGGTACGATCTTTTATATTTCTTTCAGTTCATTCTTGATTTGAGTGAGATCATGCATACCCGCCCTCCTTCTGTGAGATGTTGATATATTGACTGTGAGGCCCCATAGTGACCAACACCGACGACTTTATTTGGCGCATGTTCAGGGCTCGCCGTGCCAAGGAGCTACGCTTTGGCCCGCCTTCTGAGTCTCAAGTCTTGAACTGTAAGACAACCATCATTAGAGCTTCTAGAATTAACTATGGCCGTCAGGGGTAGGATTTGATCACGTCGCAGGGTCTGTGGAAATGCACGTTACACCTCTCCTATATGGTGCTTCGCAGGTCCATGTGCATGCATCTGTTATTTTGTCCGATTCCGTTCGCATGCTTCGTCTGATCGACGAAAATGTATGTCTCAATTCAATTCAGCCGTGGCTTTTACTTATCGATTCATCATGCTTCTTTTTCAGTCCATTGGTCTAGGTTTCGCACCAAACTTTCTGCTAGCCAAGCTCACTCGCGATCTTGAAAAGCGTACTGATCTTTCGGATCTTTCGACCTATCCTCCATCAAGCGGATCACCAGCGGAGGTGAAGCAGTGGTCTCGAAGACCGCACAAACCTTCGTTGCTACCATGAAAAAGCTTAGCAAGAACCCCTCCGCAGTGTCTTTCATAGTCTCTGCTGGATTTGGAATGACAGAAACTTGGTATGAACCTTTATACAACATCGTTACATCTGAGCTGACCAGTCTTGCGGTGGTGGCTGCATTTTTGTTCCAGTCGATATTTTTACAACCAAACCTGCTCGCGAGTTCCTTGACCTTGGACGTCCCGTTATTGGTTGCGAAATGCGCATCGTTGACCCTGTCGATGGCACTACTCCGCGCGCAGATGGCGAGAGCGGCGAGCTTCAGGTTCGCGGACCGATGGTTTTTGTATGCTACTACAAAAACCCCGAGGCTACGTCTTCCAGCTTTATCGAGGGTGGCTGGTACCGCACTGGTGATGTAGGCATCATCGAAGGTGGCTCTATGC